GAACCATCAAAATTGGCCCGGGTTCGTTTGAACCTGCGCTGTCTTATTATCAAATATCCAAGAAATTTTTTTTCATGCCGTTTATTTATCAAATCCCAGACCCTTTGTGACTTCTGGTCTGTCATACTCTGGAGTTTTTGAAAATACTTCGAAGTGAGAACCCTTCCTAGATACTTTCATAATTCAGACTTAATATCTATGAACTTAAATAGCTTACGACTCTCAGGCCAGAAAATTTCCTCTCATTTCCGGATAAAGGCGTGATAAAGTATTGCATTAACGGTGTCAGAATGACCCTTCTTCATTAGGCTACGAAGTCCGGGAGCGATACAATAATGCTTGCAACAATTGAAAAAGGTCAAATGGCAGGATTGACTTACAATTGTCTTATTAGTCCGGCTGTAATCGGTGCACTGTTTGGCAATCTGACTTCCATAGCTTGGTCGAAGATATGAAGAACAGAATGGTCGTGGTCACCTTTCGTTGTATAGAAGTTGTTTGACCTTGTTTTCGCAAATTGGTCATATTGGCAGGAAGACTTAGAGGAAGACAACATGTACGGAGTCCATGTATGCATAATAGTTTCTAGTCGGACCGTGGACTTGATACATTCCCAGACGTTTCACCAACATCGTATTCGGCATTTCCAGTGAGCCTTGCCAGTCTTAGCACCACACTACAAGCCGTCAAAGAGACAAGTGAAGTGGATCCTTTGACCCAATGTGTGCTAGGCAGTTGTGGTATCTCTCATTCTGTCCTGGGCTATTCACCTTTTCTATAACCTCATATCACCCCTTCAATATCATAATTTATTACTTGTTTATTTAGGCTTATCTGAAATCTATTCACACTCTTCGCTGGTTTCCTCTTCCCTCCCAGTGTGCCGGGAGTGTTGATCCAAGGCCGCGGTTTAATCCGCAATTCTCTCTCTTCGTACTTATCATGATCCCCCTTATGCTCCGTAGGATCCTTCTCTTTTCTGCCTGTTTCCGTGATTTCACTGCATCGCTGCCGCCGTATCCGTGCTACTCAAGACGTTGTTCTACACTCTGCCTCAAGCCTTTGGTAGAACATATACACCAGCCTTACTGAGCAAGTCCCTAAAGTCTGGATTCTCATTTGGCATGGCAACCTAACTTGACGGTGCAGACTCCCTTATCTCTGTGCCGCATGTGCACCGAGTAAATCTCATGGTCAAACCTTTACTTCATGGACCACGTCTATGAGCAAAGTTATCTACTAATAACTAACTGGAAATGGCCACCCCTGTTTCTCTCTCTCTCTTCTTCCACAAGGTCGCCCTGACGCCCCGACCAAGTTGCGAATACAAGGGCGGACCAAATATGCGGTAGTGCTATTATTCAGAAGGCATTACCGTCTTGACGCATTCATGGGATCATTATTTCTATTGATAACTAGGTTTTGGTTAGCGTGGTTCGTCCAAAGGTCTCTTGGAGCAAATTAATGTGCGAATGCATGGGCAAACGAACTTCCAATGCCTTGATGTATGGACGAAGTAGACCCCTTAATCATTGCTACTTTTCATATCTGGAGGCAAAAATGTATGCACACACACACACACACATAGAGATATATATACAGACGTGCATCTCCCAACTTCCATACAGACCTGGCATCACCATATATTACTTACTCCCTTTGCCCACACATTTCTGGGACAGAGCTCGGCTGAGAAGGAGACAGTAAATCTTACTGTTGACCTGCGTCATTGTGACCAAAACGGCAATGGGTCAGACCGGATATGAATGAGTAGGATAAACTAAGGTGGTCTCGCACACAGACCTTGGGAGAAAGCATGCATACAAAGACATCTGCATCCGTATGGACAGAGGTAGAGGGGGCCATGTGTTTTGGTGCGCGTGTATGTGCACGTTTCTCTGCACTCATGTATCGACATACAGACCGCCCTTCGGTACATGAACACGACAGCAGGAGTGGAGTTACACTTATTCAGCTTCGCAGGCCACGCAAATGCGTGAAATATGTCATTATCTCTTAATCGCTACTAATCGAGGCCTTAGTCACCCCAAAAAAGTCTAATGAGGTACTTGGTTCTCCAGATGTAAGTGATAAGGGCAAAGTGATGAGGCAAAGCGCTCTTGGATCTTGGGCTTTTTCCACTTGTCTCTGTCTCTCCCTACCCCTGTCTGCACCTCTGTCTTTCCGCTTTCTCCGCAGATGCCCTTATGTACGTGTGTATTCAAGTCTAATATATTTATATGTATAATGTATGGGTACGGTGAGGACTGGTTCCGTTGACCCATGAGAGAAGCGCACGTGATGTAGCAGATTCCGATGCTGACATAGCTCTGTGGAAGAGGAGAGAGGAGATGAAAGGACAGGTTGAAGATGGGAAAGAGCGAGTATGCGAAAAAGGTTTGCAATCACTTGTCCATGCTGTAAGAGCAGAAGGTTTGGAGGGAAATAGAGATGGGGAGGTCTGTGAAAATTTGCCGGTATACGGGTCAAGGGAGAAAGTAGTTAAGCAAGTACTTGGTCATGTGAAGAATGGTCACGATGCTAAAAGGCTTTGAAGCTTCGCTAACGGTGTTAAAATCCATCCGTTTGTAAGACAAGAAGAAGTTGATCTTTATTGAATGCATATAAAGTGGAGTTTTAGGGATTCGTTCCAGAACACCTTTGTCATTGGACCAACAGCCAAGCTGGTAGCAGAAAGCAAGAAGCAGTCCTTTTTGAAGTGGAGAACAGCCCCAATGACAGAAAGCATTGCTCGAATAAATTGAGATTCATAATCTGAGCAAATGAGTACTACGGTTTCTCAATTGAACTCAAATACTGTGGGCCTCAGCAACGGCATAAAATGATGTCAAAATAGGAGTTTGAATGAAGCTGGCCCTCATTCTCAGGCAGTGGTTTGGTGTTAATTTAAAGTAAAGCTGCAGTAGATAAGAAAGTATAAGAAGAGAAGACCTAACCGGACAGGTCTGAATAAAGAAGCAACTATAGCAGGTTTGTAAATAAGCAGGTGCATCGGGGCATGCTGATACTTTGAGAGAAGAATGCTTGTATATGAAAGTTAGTCGTCGTGACAAAAGGGTATCTTAAATCACTAAGGTGGGAACGCATAGATTTGGTTGACATGCCGGGCAGTGATGCATAATCGTGGGGATTATTTACCTAATTAAGGCTGATTTGCGACGTATGAATGGACAGGTAATATCTTGGCTGACTAAATGAGGACAATGCAGACTGAGACCGCTGATACAGAAACTAGCCTTAGCATAT